CGGCCACTGAACCACATCTCCAGTTCTATTTTATTTAGAGACAGGGTCTCACTGAGTTGCTTAGCACCTTGTTTTTGCTGAGGTTGCCTTTGAACTCATAATCCTCCTGCCTCAGTCATCTGAGTCACTGGGATTTGAAGATAACTTTTTAAAAATACGTTCTATATCCCAATTCCATTGGGTAAAATATCAGATTTCATGAGAGCCTAAATATGATTATTAATTTAGGTAATTTCTGTGCTTAACAGCATTTATACAAGGAGTTTTCAAGAGTTTTAGCAACTTTGTTTTTAAAAAGAGATTAAGTTTATTAGAATTTATATTATCAATTGAATAAAATAATTTGATAATTTAAAATGACTTTTTAAATGATTGAAAACTTAAAACTTTGAAATTCAGTTGTTTTATTTTAAAAATGCAAATTATTCAAAGTGTCTGGAAATGTATAATCTTAGATATATATTTTGAATAGAACTTAACATTATGCATTGCATTCTTATTCACTTAATTCTTATTTGGTTAGTAAAATTAATATTTTATCTAATTTTTTCCAGCTTTTATTTATTGATTTTATTTTTTAAATACATGACAACGGAATGCATTACAATTCTTATTACACATATACAGCACAATTTTTCATATCTCTGTTTGTATATAGAAGTATGTTGACACCCAATTCAAGTCTTCATACATGTACTTGGATAATGATGTCCATCATATTCCACTATCATTGCTAACCCCCTGCCCCCTCCCTTCCCCTCTCACCCCTCTGCCCTAACTAGGGTTCATCTTGAATAGGATGTTAAAAAATTTGCCAAATTTTGAGTTATTGTAACAAAATATTTCAAAGATAAATTAGATATGATTATAAACTATATGTGCATACTTTTTCAAAGATATTATATGTGTTCATCTAAAGTCTTTGTTCTTTAAATGAAAGAAATAGTTTGCACATACATGCTGTTGGAATCCTCTTATGTACTATTATTGGGACTGGTAGGTAGTATTAAACACGAGTCAAAGTGGAGATTATTAAGAGTATATGAGTGTACCATACACACTATAACTTAAAATTCACAAAATATAGTTATATTCTAATCTTTTCATGTAGGGCCTGAAGTAGTTTTTAAAGTAGTGGTCAACTGTGAACAGTTTAGAGTTACTTTTCTTGCATAAAGCACGGGCATATTAAACAATTTGATTATACAGCCTCACTAAATTGCTGAGGCTGGCTTTGAACTTACAATCCTCCTGTCTTAGCCTTCTCAACTACTAGGATTACAGGTGTGCACCACTGTAATCACATTTTTATGGCATTTATCACAACTCAGAAAACATCATTGGTACTTTTTTTTTTTTGGTACCGGGGATTGAACTCAGGGCACTTGACCACTGAGCCACATCCCCAGCCCTATTTTGTATTTTATTTAGAGACAGGGTCTCTCTGAGTTGCTTAACATCTTGTTGCTGAGGCTGGCTTTGAATTTGTAATCTTCCTGCCTCAGCCTCTCCAGCTGCTGGAATTATAGGCATGAGCCACTGTGCCCAGCTCGTCATTGGTAAATTTACCATGATCTTCTGTTTCAGGATCCTATCTAGGTTACCACATTGCAATCTATCATCATGTCTCACTTCCATCCTGTTTTGTGATAGTTTCTCAAACCTTCCTGTTTGTCATGATCTTGACAATTTTGAGGAGTATTCTGTAGAATCTCTCCCAATGTAGGTTTATGTGGTGATTTATTCATGGTTAGACTTGGGTTATGGGCATGGGGAAAAGACTATCACAGAGGCGGAGTGGTCTTCTCATCACATCAGATCAGGGGTTCATACTATCAACACGATTTACTGATAATGATGTTAACAATTACATGTCAATGTAGTACTTGACAGGGTTCTCCACTTATTTTTTTCCCCTTCCCATACTCTACTCTTCAGAAACAAGTTATTATGTATATCCACATTGAAGGAGGAAGGTGTGGAGGACATATCTATGTGAACTATTTGGAATTCTTTCAAGAAGTGTTGTCTTTTCTCTCCATTTATTCAATTATTTATATCACTGTGAACTCATGGATATCTATATTACAGAGTTTTCCAACACTAGTTTGCTGCTCAAGTTTTCCCAGTTTGGGCCTTTGGGAGCTCTTTCAGGTTGGCTCCAATATCCCCTTGACATATGCCTCTTATTCATTTGTTAATTGATCATTTCCTTACTTTCTGGCACTACAAGAAACTCTAGACTCATCTTGTATTTTCCCTGTCCAACTTTAGGATCAGCAGTTTCTCCAAGGAGCCCTGGTTCCTTTTTTGGAGAATAGCATGAGTGCTTGATATGTTCACTGCTATTGTGGTTACTGCTTCTAGGCTCTATAAGGCAGGCAGAGCGAGAAAATGTTATGTCTCCCAATCCTTGTATGTATACATACTTAAAATTATTTCTATACTATCCTTCTGAATCTGTATTTAGGTATCTATGAGTTCTTACTGATGTCTCCAACAAATTTAGTACCATATGGCTCATTTTAACCTTTTATACTTAATTATCTGAAACTTCCGTCTTCAAGAATGAGAAACGTGACTCTCCCATCTACAGGTCTAATTTTAAAGACTTTCTACCCTTTTCCCTATTCCATTCTGTGTTATAAATTTATTATCTGTAAATTGTACCTCTCATCAAAAGGACTATATGATCAGGAGAAATGACAAAATAATAAAACCCCCTCAAGTCTTTCAAGTTCTTATCAAGCACTGAAGAAGTGACCATTGAAATGTTACCATTGAAACTAGCAGAATTTTTGTGATTATAGACTCTGAAGAAATTGTCATTGAATGAGAATATGTTTCTGCCTACAATATCCAGGTGCAGAAGTTACTTGGAATAACTATACAATCTGTCACCTTTCCCAAGAAGTTTGTACTTCTCAAAAGATTGGATATTTTTTATATGTGAAATTAGGCCACTTATTGAGATCTTTAGTTTCACTATATATCTCTTCACTTGAATTAGAGTTAAAATTTTCAATGGCTTTATTACTAAATGTACACAATTTAATTAAACGTTACATAATAGTGATAAATGGGGGATTAGTAGGTATTTCCAATTATTCCTCTTTTCAATGCTGTACGTTTATGAAATGTTTTTCAGTGTTCTTTGGTAAATAAAAGCAAACAGAAAATAGATGAAATCAGATTATCTATTATTCCACTTATATTTTATAATTTTTACCTATGGACACATACTCATTTGTTTACTTCAAAGGAATTTCTTGAATAGCAGGCATTAGGTAGGAGATTAAATTCCAGGGTCAAAGCTACATTAACAGCCCAGCCATTATGAAATTAACCTTTTTTAACCTTTTTTTAACCTTTTCTGATACTTTCAGACATGTAGGTTTTCTCCTGGCAACCAGATCTAATTTTTTTTTTTTTTTTTTAATGAGAAATGGGTGGAGAATGTGCCAAAAGGCAAGTATATGGAGGACGATGCTTCTTGGAGATGACTGGCCTGGGAATGTAAACAGGAAAGCTCCACAAGAGGGTAAAGAGGAACAGAAGAGGCAGAATTGCCTCTTAGACTGTTGCATCAAGTGACAGTCAAAATTCTACTGATGGCTGCACTTGGCTTTGGCTTCATAGTTTCTTGTAAGCACTGTGTGTCAAGGGGGTTCCTGCTATTGCAGAAGTTCTACAGAAATATAACTCCTAAAATAATGTTAACATATTTTTTAAAAACATATTTTAAAATGTCTTATTTTATGCAACATTTAAATATTACTAATTCATTTCACACATTTTCCATTCTATCAAAATAGCCCAAAAGGAGGAGACTGCAATTTATAGAAAAAACAATCGGGGACAACCTGACTTCCTCTAATTACTTCAGAAAATCTTGCATAGATAATTCCATCTAGTGCAAAGCACCTCAAGCCTGTGGTAAAGAAGTAATATCTATGTCACTCCCCTGATGAAAATAAGGCTTTTCCTGGGGTTCTTGCCTGGCTTTAGCTCCTGCCTGTCTCTCCAGCCACACTTCTGTAGCTTGCTCTGAGTACATCCAACTCCTGTAAGTTCTTGCAGCAGCCTGTGCCTTTCTTTCAGGATTGCTGACTTTTTATCCTTAGGGCTTTAGAAAGGTGTAATTACATTTTTTTTTTTTTAATTTCTGAAAATACCTCACCAATGAATTTCAATGTTAAAACCATCCCATTCTTTGCAAAAAGTGACCTAATTAAACTCAATACTGACCTAAGAAAAACATGACAAAAATGAAGAGTAATAAATGAGTAATAAAATAGTAGGATACATTCATTAGTTGATGATTTAAAAGGTTGTATGCGTTCTTTGTAATTTTAACATATTTGGTATAGAACATAATTGTTATTTAAAATTTGGGTTAGTTACGGCTTAAAATACTTGTCTCCTGAAGATTTAGTACTCAATTTTCATATGTGAGAATTAGTTCCCTATAAATCAATTTAAATTAATTCTTCTTTTAAATGATATTGTAAAACATCAACAAATATTCTTGAATTGGTCTCAACTTCAAAATCTCTATAGAATAAGATCAGGTTATATGTAAATAAATCAAAAGCAGTCAATCCTCCATAATCTCCAGCATTTTTCTTGGCTATTTCTAGTTAATTTTAAAATTATAAAAGTTTATATGTTCTACCCTTATATTTTAAGTCATCAGTAAACCTTGATGTATTTATTTATATAAAGCTATAAAATCTCTAAAGTAATATATTTATGAACTTTGTGTTCCATTATTAAATATAAAAACTGAGAAAGGTTTTACAAGTTTAACCTAAATTTTATCTTTTCCAACTGACTTTGTCCTTCTAGTCTCCCTGTATAGAGAGACAGTTACTAATGATAGCCTTAGAATGCCTCCTCACTGCCCTCAGCTTGTCATCTTTCTGTTGATATCTAGTTTGCTATCTTTCACTTCTGAGTTCTTGGCTTTGTTGCTAAATTTGTGTTAAATGGATACTTACCTTTTCCAGAATAACTTGCAGATCTTCAGCGCCTGTATAATGTGGATCTAGAATCAGAAATTTTATCTGCCCTGTCGTCTCATTCCATGCAACTCCTAGTATTGTGTGGGCTAAGACTCCTCCTCCTAGAGAAGACATGACATACCAGAGGCATAAACCAATCTCAAACTGCCATTATATTTTAAAATAAAGAGAGAGATTATTTTGCCTACTTATTGACCTAAATAGCATTAAAATTCATTACCCTAATTGTAAAAGACCATGATGTCAAATATACTCTGAAAAGGTAAAATTTTATCCTTGACACATGAAAGATGCAACGTGTATTCATAATCACATAAAGCTTGTATTCTGCTGCCATATCCTTTAAATTATCTAAATTGGATAAGAGCCAGAGGCTCCAAACTCCTCCCAATAGAATAATCACTGCTGTGGAGCCTCTGCTGTATTTGCTCTGATATCTCCAATGATATTGCCCACCTACTCTTTCTGCCTCTTCAGAGACTCATGAATCTTTTGATCAACCAACCCAATATTCTTATTCTACAAATAAAGCCCAGAGAGGTTAAATCATTTGCACAGTGTCACACAGATAGCCAAGTGACTGAGCCATGACTTTTGATGTCTAGTCAAGTGACCATCTCCTCTTTTTTTTTTTTTGCTATTGGGGCTTGAATGCAGGGGTACTTTACCACTAAGCTACATTCCTCTTTTTTTTTTTTTTGCTATTGGGGCTTGAATGCAGGGGTACTTTACCACTAAGCTACATTCCCAGTCCTTTTTATTTATTTATTTAGAGACAGGATCTTGCTAAGTTGCTCAAGGCCTCACTGAGTTGCTAAGGCTGGCCTTGAACTTTTGATCCTCCTGCCTCAGTCTCCCAAGCTGCTCGGATTATAGGTGTGTGCCACTGCAGCTTTATCCTTTTTAATACTTCTCTTAGTTTTCCAAATGTTTAAATATAGTTATTGGTTTCTTTTCTTAGCTTTTCTTTTTGTTATTATAATCTTTTTTACAACCTGTCAAGAACCTTGTAAATTTTTAAAATATCCAGAGAGCCAATATTATGGTATAGAATTTAATTTTAAAATGTTTAAAATGACTTATTTTATGCAACATTTAAGTATTACTAAGTCATTTCACACATTTTCCACTCTATCAAATTAGCCTAGGATGTTCAAGATACCTTACCAATCATTACTGGAGTGCCTTCACTCTGGAAATGATTAGCCAGTTCCCATCCTCGTGAAGCCATTTCTGAGCCTTGGCTAGAAAGAAACCATTTTCCATTAGATGAACTACTTTGAACACTAAGGTCAAATAATGAGTTTGGTGAGCCAATGTTTTCTACCTTTTGTTTTCCTTTTTGTTTGTTACTTAAACAAAAAAGTAAAAATCAAGTGGTAGAGAACAGACTTAGAAAGCATCCCTCCCCACCCACCGCCAAAGGTGACTAGAAAGCAATTTAAAGCAACAGAAACTCTAAATATTTAAGGCTACTAACTATGCTACTAACTATGCTAGGAAAGGCCTGATTTTCTGCTTCTGGAACTGCATAAAGAAGGTTCTAGATTTTTAATATGAGATTCAAACTGTTCATCTTGATGTCCAGGGCACTCTTATGCAGAAATTTAATTATTAGAAAAAAGGAGAGTTTTTTATTTATATATTTTTGGTGGTGCAGGGAATCAAACCCAGGGCCAAGCATGCTAGCCAAGTATTCTACCTCTGAGCTACATCCCCAGCTATGGCATTTCTGAGTCTGTATTTTCTCTTCCTTAATACCTACCTATAGACGTGACAGAGGAGATTCTAGGACTGAAATGTATGTCTGTGAAGTTGGTATGAAAATTGCAAAATGTTGTTAAGTACAACATAATTATTATGCAATTTCTACTTTTGAGAAAAGGAAAGAAAGATGGAGAGGTAAAGGGAGGTACATATATGTTCCTTGACTCACAATAGGATTCCATCCCCAAAACCCATTATTTAAATTGAAAACACTATAAGTTGGAAATGCATTTAAGATACCTCATATACCAAACATCACAGTTTAGCAACATAGTACATTGCGTTTCTCCTTGTAAACAAATGGCTAACTGGGAATTAGCCCACCACCACCAGAGTATTAAACTGCATATCACTACGCAGGAAAAGATCAAATTTTCAAAGTAAGGGAGTTGGGTTTGTGGCTTAGTGGTAGAGCACTCACCTAGCATGGGTGAGTCACTGGGTTCAATCCTCAGCACCACATAAAGATAAATAAATAAAGGTATTTGTGTCCATCTACAACTAAAAAATATTTTTTTAAAAATTTCAAAGTAAGGTTTCTACTGAATGAGTTATTGCATTTGTTCCATTGTAAAGTAATAAATCATAAGTTGGCCCATTATAAATCAGGCACTATTAGTATGTTTTTTTGTTTTTGTGTTTACATTTTTTGGAGGTGCCAGATGATGCTAAACCTTAATTTTTGGCTTAATAAATAATGTTTTAATGTACCAAAACTCACTTGAAAAAATTATTTGCTTCTTAATCTGTCATTATTTAGCAGTGATTTCCATAACTATTCCAAATTCCAATTGTGAAATCAGACATATTAAAGCACTTGATAATGAGGATACTATAACTATAGTTATCAATAAAAAAATACATTTAAACACCTGAGGTCATACAATATGGAGTTAGCTAGTTATGGTTAGAGAAAGTGATATAACTTAATTTATATTTTCTCATTTTAATGATAGAATTCTCTAGAATTGTAAGATAAGTATATTATTTGGACACATTATTGGTTTATTAATATCTTAGAAAAAGAGCAAGAGGAAAACAAAAATGTCAGTCACAGATCAAGATTTGATTTTGTCCTTTCAAGAATTTTTGAAGAATTAAGCACTCAAAAACCAGACTTTTGCTGGATGTGGTGGTGCATGCCTATAATCCCAACAGCTTGGGAGGCTAAGGCAGGAAGATTACAAGTTCAAAGCCAGCCTAAGCAATTTAGGCCCTGGGTAACTTATCAGAATGTTGTTTCGAAATAAAAAATAGAAAAGGGCTGGGGAAGTGGCTCAGTGTTTAAGCACCCCTGAGTTTAATCCCTGGTACCAAAAAACAAAAATACCCCAAACTAGACTTTGTAAATACAAAGGTTAAAATACTTGTAAGTTTTCTTTGTATAGGCTAAAATTAGGCCTAGACAATGAAGGTATATACCACAGTTTATTTGTAAACTCAAAAGTCTTCTAAGAGCAAATAAAAGAATTTAGGGTTAAAAAATGAAACTTATAAAGTAAGGAGAAAGAGAAAGGAGTGAAAATAAATAGGGGAAAATATATAATTTTAAAAATTATTTTAATAAAAATGACAAACTGTCACTTTGAAATGATTTACCTAATTTCTTAAAGTGTTCTTACCTGACAAACAATATTTTTGAAGTTATACCAATCAATTGATTTAGTACCAGCTGTACCTCAATAGATCCAATCCATTGCCGTGATCCGACAAATGTTGCTGGTTTGTCACCGGCATCAACTAGAGCCTTTATGTGTTTAAAAATATAAAAAAATCCATATACATGACAACTATTAAAAATTACATTTAGGGTATTTTCTCTGATTACCAGTATGAGAATATTTTTTTCCTCCAAAATAACAATATGTCTACACCACAGGGCAATAACAATTATTAATGGTATTATATTAAATTATTAATGGCTAATAAAACATATACTTGCTTATAATTTAAAATGGGGTGTTTAGTACCTGCTGAATTTCCCTGTGTGTTGGAATGGCTCTCTCTGTGTATCCCTGATGTCTGAACCAAGAGCAGATAGTCTGCAGCGATCGGTAGGCACAGCCCCAGCCATTGTCATCTATTCGATCCTGCATATAATGGTGATAACCATATATACCCTGGACCACATAAATCTATATAAAAAGAAGAAATATAATACAATATTAACTTAAGATAGAAGTACATATTTTATACATATGCCTGAGGCATGTTTACTGTTCTGACTATTGCTTTAGAACCTTGTAAAAATAGTCAATCCCCAAAAACCAAATGCCAAATGTTTTCTCTGATATAAGGAGGCTGATTCATAGTGGGGTTGGGAGGGGGAGCATGGGAGGATTAGATGAACTCTAGGACAAAGAGGTGGGAGGGGAAAGGAAGGGGCATGGGGGTAGAAAAGATGGTGGAATGAGATGGACATCATTACCCTAAGTACATGTATAAAGACATGAATGGTGTGAATATACTTTGTATATAACCAAAGACATGAAAAATTGTGCTGTATATATGTAATATGTGAATTGTAATGCACTCTGCTGGTATATATAACAAATTAGAAAAATAAATAAATAAATATGCCTTCACAGAACTATGGCTTAACATTATACCCTCTTTCTTGGCTTTTATTAAAAACCAAAGTTCCTCAACAGTGGACCCAACAGTGGTCTCCTTTCCAACTTCATCTCCTTTGCTTTTCCCTATTTCTTCATCTGGTTTGGGTTCAAATACACCAGGGATAATCTGACCTCAGAGCTTTAAGGTTCTCTTGGATAGAAAAACTATTTACCCAAATAATTTTACAGCTTCACCCTTCTTCCACTCAGGTTTCCATTAAGTTGTCAGAGACCTTCCCTGACCATCCAACCTAAAGATGGCATGCTCACTCTCACCACCCGTCTTCTGCCCTGGACATCATCTTTAGCCTACTTTATTCTGAAGCATATCACTATTTGATGTTTAACTTAACATTGCTTCTATAACAGACTGGGCACTCAATTGATACAAATGTTGTTGAATAAATGATGATCTTCCTGAATGAATAAATGAAGGACTAAAGGAATGTATAAACAAATAAGTGAAGGATTCATAAAATGCTTCTGCATTTTATAAACAGCCCAGGGTGTTATTTAATAACTCTAAAATAAAGGTTGATATTATAAAATTCTTAGTTGTAGTATAATGCTAAGAATGCACATCTTTTTTTATAAACCAATATTATTTTCTAAAACAATTGAATTGCTTGTGAAATAAAAGTCTGTTCAGTACTGACATAATTTTTTCTCCAAAATAATTTTGATCAGGGTGTTGACTGAGTCCACAGATGCACAACCA